TTTCTAAGGGAACTATGGAAGAAATTTAATCTCCCGCCTCATGTGGCCAAGAGAACTTCACCAGCCCAGCACTCTACCATCTGCAGCCCTTGGTAAAGAGCTGTGACCAGTTTATTGAATGCAGTAACTACCTGCCAAAGGAACTATAAGCTCATTCCATTGATGTGTGTACTTCCCCTCTGACACATCTGTGTGCATCTTTCCCCTCTGACGTCAATGTTAGTGAACAGTGGGGAAAGCCTGACATATTCTTTTACAGTCTCTAACTTCCACTGTAAATGACTATACCAAGATCACTAGGAATTTTGAGACAAATCTTCATTATCTCTGCCTATTCTTTCCAGAAACACACATTTTATATTATAGTCAACACATTAACCTCGAAGATGTTATCCCAATGGAAATTCCACCCATAATCCCCCAGATTCCTCCTCCAACATCCTTCTGCCACACATACCATTTGGCCACCCCTCTCTCTAGGTTTGAAAGCACCTTTCCTTAGAGGAAAAGTAAAGGAGGAAAAAGAAGAACACATGAAACTAAAATCTGACCAAGGGATCCACTTAGTTCCATTTCTGAAATACAATGATTAGGAAAAAAGGTAGTTTGGTATTTTCTCTTCCCTTCTACTTTTTTTTTTTTCCTTAAAAGAAGATGTGCTATGAGTTCTCACTAGAGATAAATCATCTGGTCATTATAATTATTATCAAGCTTGTTTTAAGAGCAACAGAAGCAATAAGAAACAGAACAAACTAATTCAACAACAACAAAAAGTCTTGACCAGTATTCTGGGCTTGATAAGAGCACTCTGAACACCGTCAAATGGAAGTCAACTAGCACTCAGACCTTAAGACTTACAACTTAAAACATGGTGTCCACATCTTACTAACCACCACTGCATTCTGATTCTACAAGTTAGACCTGTCTGTGGTAAAAACAAAATCAGGCAATGGCAAAAACAAAACAAAAACCTCAAGACAAAGCAGTGTATTTCAAAACTGGCCTGGAATGTCCTAGGTAATTCTGGCATTCTTGAACACAAAAAGAGGTGTAACGAACACTGAAGAACACAGAGAAATGATAAAAAACAAATGTTCTTCTTTCTTTAAAACTTTGACAATGTCGTAATCCTTATCACTAAAGAGAGCATGTTTAATTACTGACATTTCTAGTTGTTTGGTAAGACTGACATTGGTAAGTAAAGCCCTACTGCCTTATTCCTTAATCTTGTGAAATAGGCCTAATGTCAAATACTACAAAATAGAATCCATCCTATAGATTACAACATTTTAGTGTAAGAAAAATCCTTTGTTAGACTTCAAGTCTAAATTTCTGGTCACCATACATACAGAAGTTATTTCTGTCACTGAGTGGAAGCAGCAGCATATTGTGGGGGACAGTACAATCCTGACCATCACTTACGATGTAATCTTGGGTCGATTATGTAACCCCCCTGAGATACTGTTTCTTCATCAGCAATATGGGATTCATGCTTCCCTCCCATGTGGTTTACAAAATGAAAAGGTATTTATGAATGAGTGCCTAAGACAGGAGCCAGCACAGAGAGAGCTCCATGCATGTTAGAGTCTTCCCTCATCCTAATAAATTAATGAAACAATTGTTCATTTGTATAACAACTTTTTTCCAAAACACATTTTGAAATATATGCTGGGTAGCATTAAAAGTTATGACTTTACAGACATACAATGAAGTTCAGAATGTTTGCATATGGATAAAAAAAAGTGCACTTTGTATATGTGTGTGTGTGTACTACTATCTCCCAAGCACTAAATATTTTTTTTTTTTTTAAAGATTTTATTTATTTATTTGACAGAGAGACAGTGAGAGAGGGAACACAAGCAGGGGGAGCGGGAGAGGGAGAAGCAGGCTTCCCGCCAAGCAGGGAGCCCGATGTGGGGCTCGATCCCAGGACCCTGGGATCATGACCTGAGCCGAAGGCAGACGCTTAACCGACTGAGCCACCCAGGCGCCCCCCAAGCACTAAATATTTTACAAAATATTTTTACCGTTTAATCCTTGGGAGGTATAAGCAATACAGTACTAGATTTGTAGAAGGTGAGGTTTAGACAGGATTACAGAGGAATCTGCCCAGGAGCACATTCCAGTAAGCTATAAAGGAGGGACTCCAGAGTCCATGTTTAATCATGTTGCTTCATAATACACATAAATTAAAGGGAAAAAAAAGCCGCCCCAAATTCCCCTCTCTCAATCCTTTTCCCTTTCTCTCCATTTCCCCTGCCCCTCTCTCTATATATGAGAATAAGGTATATATCTGAGCAGTGAATAGTTCAGCTTGGCTAGATTGAAGAATCCATACTGGAGCAAAAAGAAATACAGGCAGATTTATAAGAGAGCCTTGAAGATCAGAATGATGAGTTTGAACGTAATCCTAGAGGCAGTAAGAAGGAAGGAGGAAGGGAGGGAGGACAGAGGGGAAAGAAAAAGCCAAGCCTGCATATATTTTGGGATACAATAAAAAGTGCTAGGGGTTTTATATCAAAGAGTATGATAATTACAACAGAGATGTAACTAAAGTGCTATGAAAAATCGCAGAGGGAATGATTAATCCCAGCAGGGGAAAGAATGAACAGCTTCAAGGAGAGGATGGTATTCAGCTGGGTTTTGAAGAAGCAAACCTGACTCTCCTTGATTGAGCCTTCTGGATTTTGTCCAGGCCGCAACATCTGAATCAAGAGCTAAATCTGTGGTGTGATACTTGAAGAAAAATTAATTTTATCAGATTTAAACCAATCTCAATATCCTTTCCAAAGAATTCTGAAAAATTCTTTGGTTTAGACTTGACAAAAACTCTTTCAGGGGTTTGTAAATCACTTGAGCACTTGGTCACTACGTAGTCTACACTTACCCTTGAACACTGAAACTTCGTGAGTAATTCTCATCCTTTACTGCTGAGCGTAATAGCATAGGGTATCACTACTGATGAAAAGCCACATAATCCTCACCTCTGCCCTTACCTCTAAGAGTTATGCGTAGACGTCATAAGCTTTTCTAACAAAATGAGTATATCTTTTTAATTAGCAAAATTTAAATATAATGTGATTAAAATAAAGCTCTTAATCTAGAAAGGAAAGCCAGATCCAACTGAATGTGTTCAATGGGTAGAAAATATTCCCTGGGATGATCAAAAATATGAAAAAAAATTTTTAAATTATCATATTTCTATCATGAAGAATAATCATTTTTAGTTAAGACCCTTTCTCCTATATTGTCAGTGTATGAAAATATTAACTAGGTCTCTACTGTGAAATTAAAGCATAAAATCTAAACAAATAATCATTTACAGAGACTAATGACAAAGAAAAACAGAGGAGTCTAATTAGAACAAATTATCAATTTTTACAAATTATAGAACACAAGACAATCTTACTCATTATTCTAAGAAAACTCAATCCGGATTTGCTTTTTAAAAAAGGAAGATTAAATTAACTTTTATAACCTGGAGTGTCTCTTCTAACTACATTTGTACACTACCTCTTAAGTCTGCACAATGTTTAAGATTTAGTGTGGTCTCATAAAATTTTCTGCATTGATGGGAATGTTCAATATCCATGATATCCAATATGGTAACCACTAATCACAAGAACACTAGAAATGTAGCTACTGAGACTTAAGGAAGTGAATTTTAAATTTAAATTAATTTTTTTACAACTTTACCGATATAATTAACACATAACATTGTGAAAGTTTAAGGTGTGTAATGTGTTGCTTTGATACACTTTTATATCATGAAATGATTACCACAGTAGTATTAGTTAAGACATCTCCATCACCTCACATAATTACCAATTCTTTTTTGTGATAAGAACTTTTAAGATCTAGTCTCTCAGCAGCTTTCAAGCATATAACGCAGTATTCCTAACTACAATCACCACGCTGTACATTAGATCCCAAACTTATAACTGGAAGTTTGTACCCTTGGACCAACATTTTCCTATTTCCCCCCCACCACTCAGACCCTGGAAACCACCATTCTAGTCTCTAAGAGTTCAGCTTTCTTAGATTCCTCATATAAGTGAGATAATATATACAGTCTTTGTCTTTTAATTTATGTTATTTATGTCAGTTAACATAATGCCGTCTAGGTCCATCCATGTTGTTGCAAATGGAAGGATTTCCTTCTTTCTCATGGCTAAATAATAATCCATAGTACGTTTATCACACCTTTTTTATCCATTCATCTGCAGACAGACATTTTGGTTGTTTCCATATCTTGGCTATTGTGAATAATCCTACAATAGACAGGGTGCAGATATCTCTTTGAGATCCTGATTACATTCCCTTTGGATGTATACCCAGAAGTGGGATTGCTGGATCATATGGTAGTTCTATTTTTAATTTTTTGAGGAACCTCCACACTGCTTTCCATAGTGGCTTTATCAATTTACATTCCACCAACAGTGCACAAGGGTTCCCCTTTTCTCCACATCTTCGCCAGCATTTGCTAACTCTCACCTTTTTAATGGCAGTCATTCTAACAGTTGTGAGGTGATATCTCACTGATATCCATGATATCCAATATGGTAACCAATAGTCAGAGTTGTGATCTAAAGCTTACTTTCCTATGTGGAATTTAAGAAACAAGGCAGAGAATCATAGGGTAAGAGAGGAAAAAATGAAACAAGATGAAACCAGGGAGACAAACCCTAAGAGACTTTAAATCATAGGAAACAAACCGAAGGTTGCTGGAGGGGAGGGCCGGGGAAGGATGGGGTAACTGGGTGACGGACACTGGGGAGGGTATGTGTTGTAATGAGCACTGGGTAGTATGTAAGACTGATGATTCACAGACCTGTACCCTGAAACAAATAATACATTATATGTTAATTAATTGAATTTAAATTAAAAATTTTTTTTAAAAAGCTTATTTTCCTTCATAAATAAGTTATCAGAAATCATTAAAGAATTCCTCTTAACCTCTTATGAAACAGGCTTTCAAGACAATTACTACAACAACATACCAGGGTTCCATTTACATCCTGACTCAGGTTCTTCATTTCCCCAACAATGAATGCAACAAGGTAAGTGCTCATTTTCACACTCTCGGAAAACTCATCCTGAACAAGTCCATCTTCCATGATGACTGATGAATTCTACAAGCAAAGGGGAAAAGATAACTACGTAACTATGGGAATAAATGACAGTAACAAACTAAGAAATTGAAAATTCAAACAGGAAACAAGTAGTGAAGATTTTGGCATATTTTAATCTCTCAGCACAAGAGAGCATGACTCTTACTCTCAACAGAGCATGGCCCTTACTCTCAACCTATTCCATCGTGCCTCATCATGCAAATATGCTGAGTACAGTGAAAATCTTTAAGGAATTTTTAGTTTCAAAAGATCCATTTTAAATAAATGTAACTTAGAAATAGTGAATATCAGTGGTTCTGTTTTTCCCCTTTAAAATACCACCAAAACCAAAATCCTTCCTTATGACATAGGAGTGCTCCACTCTACTGCTACAATTTCAGAAGAGGGAGCTCCAGTTGGGATATCCCTCTGAAAGATCTGAAAGAGCTTTTTAAAGTGCCAGGTTGATGACCTTAAGAAGGCTTAGCGGAATCAAAGGTGACAAGTCACGAGAGAAGTATGCAGTAGAGACAAGATGAGACAATGCAGGCAACCTTGCAAGATTTTCTGACCGTGAATTAAGATATGTTTTGGGAGACTAGGCAAGCAGGCATCTCACCTCTTTTAAAGGAAGATGAAGAGTATGGCTAGGAGTGGAGCTGCTGAAGTGATGTCCCCTTGAAGGACAGATCACATCCTCTCCTACCTACAAAGGTGGACTCCATAGTCTGTTAGATGTGGCTGCTCCTCTCCTCTGCTTGGTTTCATCCCCACTGCCTCCCACACCAAATTTACATCCAAGAAAGAGGTACATGCTCTTGTTAAACCTCCACATTACGATACAGATTTTTCAATAACCAATAAAACACCAAGGTCAATCATGATTCAACACTATCATGTATCACTATTTAGAATAGCAAATTCGCCACATCTCGGAAAATACCACTGTGATCTTTAGTACTAGTTCACATAGTATTATTACTTGTACAACTTTAATATATAGCACATACTTCACATTTCCTGCCCACACATTCCACATCCAGCAGGTCTTCCTCTTTCTTCAACTGCTCCTTGGGCTGACTTCTCAATTAATTCCAACATATATTTTAACTTTTATTTAAGTATTTTAAGAAAGAATAAGAATGTATATGATTTTAATCATTGTCAACAGTATCACAAAGAGGAATTCAAGTATTCATTACAAAGAAAGAGATCCACTCAAAGATTTTACATTAAGGAACAGAACAGTACCTTAGGCATATTTGATAAAGCAGTATATTGCTCATCCCTTATGATCCTGATGATAAATGTGGCTTTAAATCCTGGTTCATCAAAACAAGGAAAAGCAGATCTTGCTGCCAGGGGTTCAAACTGAGTTGCTGCAAAGTACCTAAAACAAACGCAAATTCATCCAACAGTTATTGAGCACCTACTATTGAAGGCACCTTGCCAAGTACTAGGGATACTAAGAGAAACCTGTACAATCCCAGTCATTAAAGGATCTGCAGTCAACTGGGAGAGGCATAGGTTATATGATGAACAGAAACCTGAAGGGCTGCAAACCATGTCATTAATATTGAAAATAAAGCAGTGGAAACAAAGGGCAGGAAACAAATTCTGAGTGGTAGTTGAGATGCTGTATGGAAACTGGTGACAAAATTTGAAGAGTCTTAAAAAATGAGGAATATTTGAAAAGGTAGAGGAGGGTAGGAAGTACACTGTAGAAAGAGTGGGAAGCACAAGGAAAGACAGAGCAATGTGATACTCAGGGACTGGAGGTGGCTGTCCAAGATGGCTGGAGTTGAATCCACAAAGGTAGCCTACGGCAGGCCACTGAAATCTTAAAAAGGTTTCAGATGGAGATTAGTATAAAGGGTGGTCATTAATTGCCATTAATCATTTACACAGACTCTGGCTTCACAACACTAAACCTTAAACTTACTACTTAGACTTTCATGAAGACTAAAAAACAAAAACAAAAACAAAACTAGGCGCTCTATAGTATGATGGTTTCCTTTACAATCTTCAGAAATAAATAAAAAATTTCCTCCCTCTCCTACAGCACAGTAACAACATGTGAGACTTTAACTCATACGAAAGTCCTCAATTAAAGGTTGGGAGAAAAGCATAAAAAGAAAAAGAGAAAAACCGATTTTCAATTAAAGCAGAGGAATAAAACAGATCTGCATTTGGGAAATCATCCAAAAATGGCCACAGAATAACCAGGGCCCGTGTGGCCCTGTTGTGCATATTTCAGGTACTAGTCAATATGGCACATCTACAATCACCCCTCTGGACATGATGGCCTTGCTTGCTTACAGCTTAGTTTCCACTTTTAAAAGATACACAGAAAAGAGTGTGGGACTTTGAGTAAGAAGACCCAAACCCTGCACTTTACCAGCCACGTTACTCCAGGCAAATCAGTAATATACACCTCCGTTTCCTTATTCATTAAATTAGGACTTAGGTAGGATCCTCTGCCAAAAAATTGGGGTTTTTGTTAGAATCAAATATGGCTATTCAAAATAAAAACTACTTGTATGCCACAAAGTCCAACACAGATGTTTATTATCAGTGCTAGATAGTCATAACTCTTCATTCACACTTAAAGTTATTGTGCTTTTGTCCTGATAAGGGTCTGCCCAAATAATTGTTTCTACTGAGGAAACTGCACAAAAGATAGCTATCAACATACATGAAACAATTGAAACATATTATGTTGCTAATACTCAATTTCTTCACTCCACTCTCAAATTCTTACCTAGTTAACAGAAAATTATGGAAGAGGGCCACAAGGGGCCAGGGGATAAAGTTTAATGATATCTGTAATATGCATATAGTCTACTTAGACCACCGCTTTATTAGATAAAAATTGGATAATGTTCTGAGACAAAAGAAAATTTTAAATTACTGTTCAAAGGGATGCAATAATAACTATCTTACATAAAAGTCTTTTTGAGAAGGTTGCTGCCTGAGGATACTTATAATCCATCCTATCTGTGCTGAACACACTGAAACTTATTTTTGTTTTTTAATTTTATTTTGTTATGTTCATTAGTGACTTCCTTTGCTTTCAGAAATACTAGCTGCACTTTGAGCACTACATCCAATAGAGCTGAAGACAATTATGAATTACCCTGAGGTCATGTAAGAGAATTCTAACCACTGGGAGTAACAATGGGTAAATGAAAAAGTGGTGTGAACTAGGGAAGCAGTACATCTTAGTGGTTGAGCATGGAGCCTCTAGTTAAAAGGACTCTGAGGTCACCCTCTGCTACTTGCTAGCCATAAGATGTTAGATGAGTTGCTTTATGTGCCTGCTTCCTTACCTGTAAAATGAATAAAATATTAATATCCACTCCTTAATGGGTTTGACAGGATGAAAGACTAAACACAGAAAGTGCTTGGAAGAGTTTCTAGCACTTCAGTTCTCAGTAAATATGGGTTATTATTATCACTGGAATTCAGGAGAGTGCACAGGAAGTTCATTATGGCAGGTGAGGGATAGGAGATAAAACAAAGGCCAGATCTGGAAGAATCTTGAACTAAATCCTGTTAGAAAAGAGGAAGTGCTGAAGGATCTTAAACCAAAGACCAACGTGGTTAGATGTGTATTTCTAGAAATATGCGTCTGGCAACTGTGTGGAAGATGGTGGCAAGAGGAGGGGAAAACAGTGGCAAGACTGGAGCCAGACCAGTTAAGAAGATGCTTGAGGAGTTCAAGATAGAGAGACTGAAAAACTGAAGGACAAAGAAATAAAACACATCCCCAACCTAAATTTGTTAACTAGTTCTTTTAGTATCAGTTTATTATCTAGAACCTTAAGCATATCATCAACACCTTCTAGACTGATCTCCAGGTTCAGTGACCATTTCCACATCTTAGATGACATCAGTAAAGTTCCCTGACCACAAATACATGTTTGACATTTACATATACTCTGATTTGCCCATCAATAAGGAACATATCCCTTAATTATTTTATCTACTTGTTTAAATAGTTATTACATTTTGGAGGGGAGATACAAAAAATTTCTCTAATAGAACTATGAAAAATTAAAAGTTGGAGAGAGACCAAAAAAATTGCTTTGAATTACAGTTTTCAGATATCTTGAAAGGTATAAATAATCTTCTCAACTTTTATCTTCCATCAAGATATACAACCATGTGGGGCATTCATTTTACTGAAGCAGGCAGGTTAACAGATTTATATACTTTTTTAACAGCAGAATTTCACATACTAACTTGTTTTAATAGATTTAAAAACACTTTTTAAACAATATTCTATTTCTTATTTTTAAGGAATTGTCTTCTCTATATTTATAGTATTTTCCACAACTTGATCTAGCCCATGGCAAGAGTCAACAAGTACTCAAAATCACCTTTCTCTGCCATACATTTATTCCTTCCATTATATAGTAGTAGGCCCAAGGGACTCCAAGGGCAATAATCTGATTGGAAGAGATGACTACTGGATTTGTCTTCAAGGTTTGTTTGCATTGTTTTTATGTATATCCTGTAGTTCCTAGAGATGATGAAGATTCTAAAGAGAGAAATAAAGCCAAGAAGCCATGAGCTGCCATAATTATAAATTTGCCTTTTTTTTTTTTTTTGGATCCTGTTTACTGTATTACAGTGTAGTTTTACTTTGTTAATAGTGACATTTGAACAGGTAAAGTTCTAGTTTTAGAGCAGAGTGAAAGTAAAAAGGAAAGAAACATTGACCCACAAAGGAAATGGGTGTGAGCCTGTCCTGGGTCACATTCACCTCTGGCAGTGCCCACCCCCACATCTCACAATCATAAATTTGTTTTTAACATCAGATCTCACGCAAGTGCCAGCATGCCATCTTTTTTTTTTTTTAGATAAAGGCAAAGAGAAAAATTACTTATCTGAATAGGTATAAACATCTTGCTTTGTCTTTCTCTATTTAAGAAGGATCAAACCATTTCCTTAAGATAGATTTAAAATATTCATTTCTATTTTTCTCAATACACCAACATACATTTGCCAAATGGCCAGCATCAGTAATTCACAAACTGACTTACAAAGTAATATGAGGGGATGCGCCAATCAAATTAAACGGATCTAATAAGGACTTCATATACATAAGAGAAATGACATTATTGCTACTTAAGAATAACCTGTATGAAGTGTGCACTGCATCTTTCCAGAAATTGGAACTATATGCTACGAATACTAAGATTAAAGTGCAAAATACATAGTCTAAATAGGGAGCTGAATACTTTTATGTTTTGAATCACCATTTTTAAAAACCAAATTAAGTCTCTCCTAGATTTTTTTTAAAATTCCCTCAGAAATCCAAAACAGAGTGACTTTTTTAATGAACAGCAAATATTAAGGACACTAAAAATGATATATGTAAGCATACAACAGTTCTTCCTGCCCTCTTTCTCCATCTCACTAAGCACCTCCTAAAAGCTCTGCACATTAGGAAAATAGGTCTTAAAAAATAATCCATACTCTTCTTTGCATCCCATTGAGATCTTGTGAGGTGACTGAAAACTAGATTCACCAGGATATGAAAAGTTCAAAATAACTTAAGATTTTGTGTTAGAGAATATAACTGATATAATCTTTATCCATTTCCTTCCATCGGCATGCCTAACTCCCACCACGATATATGATATATGACATATATGAGCATGATAGTTGCTAAAGGCTTTGACTAAGAGAGAAATAGTATATTCTTTCCAAATCACCATTCTACTATTTTGCACATAACCTCCTAAATTAAAAAAAAAATTCCAGTTGATGTCTCTGATGTGGGCAAAGGAATCCATATTACATAAGTCATCAAAGAGCAAAGAAGTAGAATCATTTAGGAAGGCTACATACTTTTTCACATTACTTTCATCTGTGTAGGAGATTCCATAAAACCCATAGTAAGAACTAGATATATTCGCCGAATATTCTATCTTCAAGGTATAACTGTGTCCTTCAAGAAGGGTTTCAGGGGCAACAATGGCAATTTGTTCATGAAATGGGTATTCCAAGACCTCAACTTGTTTTTCTTGGCTTGAAACTGATGACATAAAGGTCACTCTCGAAATATTATGGCCTGTACTGTGAAGAATGATATTCCACGTGGCCTGAAGAGCCTGAAGTGAAATGGTCACAGAACCCTTGAATGTCATCGAGGTTAGGTTTGGGTGTAGGTTAAGTTCATAGCGTAGTGGAATAATGGCAGTGGGAAGCCTGACTTGTGCCCAAGGAAACAACTTTCCATTTGTTGCAAGTGGCTGAATTAGTCCCATTGATTGGTTTTTTTTATGGCAGCCTTCTTTGGTAAAGGTACACCTGGGCAGTAGATAAATCACCATGATTATAGAAACAGCAACCACAATAAGAAAAACACAGACCGCCATGGTCCTCACAGATGGTACAGAACAAGTCCCATCTGGGCTCGGCCTATAGCCGGTTGCACTGTTCCGAAGGCCTGAGCTTCTGTTCATGAAGGACATGCCCAGCAGTTTTGCAGATGACTCATAATCCTCTTCATCCTCATCCATCTCATGCTCACCAAGACCCCGCACCAGCAGTCTTGAACCCCGGGGCTCGTACTCCACCTCGTCAGGCTCTAGAGGATGTAAACAGGGCTCTTTGGCTAAATCTACCACATCTGGTTCTTCCTCAAACATGCTGTTTTCAATCATATTCCTGGGGAGCTGAAGCAGATCTAAACAACCAAAACATAAGGACAAGGCACAGAGTTAGAAAAAAAATTTCACAATAAAATGCCTTCTAGCAAAACCACATTTAATCTAAGAATTTTTTTTATCACTAAGACTTATGTCCATCTCAGAGCTACTGAATTAAATAAGGTGCTTATAATTTTCTTGTGTCATCCATTAAAAACTCAAGCATAAATAAAAGTATACCACAGTCATGAAACAAGAAAACTAAATAAATGCACTAGTATCAAAAAAGGGCAGTGGAGACTAAATATTAATTTCCCTAATACACTCCCCTTAACAACCTGGACCCTTGTCTTGAGCTTTAGAGACCTGTAGAGGGCCTGGCTTTAGAACTGCCGTGCCTGTCCTCACAGATCAGAGATGTGCCCACCCACAGTCTATGTACCCTTTCTGGAGTCTGGTCACCAGAACCACTGGGATTCTTGCCTAAAAGGCCTCAAACCTGCTTCTAAAGCACTTGTGGGTCTCTTTGCTGAGTCCGGTTTCCCCTACAGAGGAACACAAACTGGTGTGTCCATTTATAGGCTTGAATGATAGTTAGGCAACAGGCTGGGCTATTTTTTTAGCTCCGAAAGGGGGATGTTCCTATTCCGTGGCAAATTATACAGAAAATTTCCATAATCAAGAAATCATTTAAAAATAAGGCAAAAGAACTCTAAAAACCAGATACAAGTACAATCCAACCTATTATTTCATGCTTCCAGGGCATTCAGAAATACAACATATTCCCCTCTGTAACAACCATATTATATACCATGAGTATAAGTGGATCTTGAGTTAGGGTAATAGTGAGAGCTTTTATAAACTACAAAGAACAACATTACTTGCCAAAAATCAATGAGAAAAAAAAAGTAAAAAGGGTAAATAAATCACTCATAGATCAATCATTCCTAAGATAAGATCATTCAATGTTCTTTATTTAAGAATAGTAGATATTTAGCTTTTAAGGGATCTCAAAAGTTTGGTAATTGAAACCTCCATTAACCTTTGTCTACAAGGTACTTCATACATTATCATTTCTAACCCTCACAACAATTCTATAAAATGGCAAGTATTTCAGACACGAAAAAGCAAAAAAGAGAAATGGGTTAATTTAGCTTCATTAAGTCACAGTTGTTTTGACACAAAACTGATACTGAAGCCCAGGTCTAAAAATCTAATTCCAAATTTTAGATTATTCCCATTATTATACTGCATCATCCTACTCAACTAATTCAATAAGGGTAAGAGTTCATACCTAAATTATTTATTTTGTACTTGGCAATGAAGTTGCTAAGAGTATTATTTTACCATCATCAGAATAAAACTTACATAAAATTATTTAATAACTAAGTATCTCTACCTTAACAGAAATGCCATGTATTTTGTGTGATCCAACAAAAGCTCAACAGTGGTGACTCATAATCCATGAAACAAAATATCAATAAATATTAGGACAAAATTGAGTCTTGCTACCAAGTGTGGTCTGTGGACCAGAGCATCCGCATCACAATGCAGCTTTTTAGAAGAGCAGACTCTCAAGTCCCTTTCCTGAATTTGAATTTTAACAAATCCTCAGGTTATTTATGTGCACATCCGCTTGAGAAGCCCCGGTCTCAGCCTTCTCTACGGTCAGATCCCAGCCAGCAATAGACACTCCATTCCTGGGTGTGCTCTGGCCACCTCAAAATGCTTACTTACTCTTCTGAGAACAAGACACACTGCTGTTTCAAGCTATCCTTCACATGCCTATTCTCCCTGTTGCCCTTGCCTGCAAAGTCAGCATTTCTCCCAGGCTACCAGATGAACACCTGTCATTCCAAAACTCAGGTTAACTTGCTACAATGTAAATTAAAAAAAGTTATTTTCTTTTTGTTTCTCTTTTTTATTATTACATTTAAAAAACAAATCTTTTCACTGCGAGTCACTCCTTTCTGCTTTGGGGAGCACAGAGACCCCAACAAGGTTACCTTTTCCTACCTCCTCTCTATCCTGAACTTCTGTACAAGCCATGCTACTTTATCAGTTTTCTTTGAATAAAACTTTTGATCACATTCTAGGTGTAGGTTTAGCAAGCTGCCATCTTCCCATCCACTGTGAATGACCCACAAATGGAAGAACAGTGATTTAACATCCTGCTTGAGGAATTTCATCTCCTAAACATCCAATAGTGCCCCTACTTCTCATGACAAAGTTGTTTTGTTTTGATAGTTAACTGTGTTTGGGGGCCATTTACTTCTTTAACACAGCAAATATTGCTGTAACTGAACTTAAAAAATTTTTTTAACTCTTAATGAACTCTTAATGGGTTAGAAATTTTCTGTGGTAGTTTTTAATCCTGGCACAGTGCTTAAGATTAATTGCTTAATTTCTTTTTCAAAATATCTAAAAAGGCTTTTTCTGACCTTTTTTATTACCTCATATAGGAAAATTATGTTCTCTTAGCATTTGCCCATGTTGTTTTGTTCTGTGTCAGACCTGATGTAGACAACAAGGAGGTCTGCACAGTATGGTTTTTTTTTATTTAATGAATTTCTAAACTAATCCTAGGTATAATTTCAGTTTACTTAGAGCACACCCATTCTTGAATTCATATCCCCTTAGAACTTTGGTTTTGTGTGTTTTGACTCCTCAGCAATGCCTTACTTAAGGTAAGTGGTATTCTACCACCTGACCATTTTGGCATCACCTGTCTGCATTTCATTTACTTCAAAACTTTTGATAAGGGTTTAGTCAGATGTCTGCCAAATCCAAATACTGTAATTTTATTATTTATCACCCATTCAGATTAATACCTATGTAGCATTTTAATCTTTCAGAAATAGAATACATTGACTCATCTGCTATAATTTATTGCACATTAGAGGCAAACTTTTGTATATGTGTACAACGTCAAATTAAATATATCAAACCAGGGGAAATCATTCTTTTTTTTTTAAAAGATTTATTTATTTATTTTGAGAGAGTGAGAATGAGAGAGAGAGAGAGTACATGAGAGGGGGGAGGGTCAGAGGGAGAAGCAGACTCCCCTCTGAGCAGGGAGCCCGATGCGGGACTCGATCCTGGGACTCCAGGATCATGACCTGAGCCGAAGGCAGTCGCTTAACCAACTGAGCCACCCAGGCGCCCCAGGGGAAATCATTCTTGTTATTGGTAACCCATGAAGACTGTATTTCCAACCTATTTAAGAAAATTTTTCTTTGGACTCTTAAATCAGTACACTTTGATCTTAGCATTAAATTGTAAAGCAACATGATTACCCCTTGCTCTAATGGATTTATTTATATTAAAAGAAGAGATTCTACAGAAACAGGAAATTTTCTAAAACCTTTTAAATCCACACATACATGCTATCTATAAGCCAAAAGCAAAGAACGTCCTAACTGAATGTTTCCGTTTTAAATAACATAAGCCCATGTGGTAATAATCTAAGAAAACTGAAGACATTTCTTTTCATCAGATACCATGAACTGGTGCTCCTCAATGTTGTCTGTGGATCAGCGTCAATCCACAAACTGTTATCTGTCTGTGACAGGATATATGTGGATGATTAGTATTTAAAAACTTAGAGCAATTTGTCAATAATTTTATGTCTATCAAATTTAATCATTTAAAAAATGGAGCTTATAGTTTGCATGTCTATTTTTCATTTCAGCTTTCCAATAATTCATATTTTTAAATGCTACAAAACTTCTGCAACAGATTAAAAATTAAAAAAAAATAAAAACTTCAAATCTTCAGCTCAGATAATATGGGAAGCAATGGGTTGGACTGTCACTATCATGGCAATGCAGGTCGATAGGAAGTTCTCAACTATGACAGCAGAAGTGAAAAGGAGGGAATGATTACAAGTCATGTTAAAAAGGGAGAATACCCAGGAACTGAGGCTCCCTCGGGCCAGACAGTCTGTAAGATGGAGTGACAGAGGAAAGTCTATGTCAATTCCCGATATACATTCTGGCTTGGAAAACTGGAAGAAAGAATGCCACTCATTGAGATTGAGAATATAGGTTTTCAAATTCTCTCTCTTGTTTTTTTTTGGGGGGGTATAAGAGGAGCAATAATGAGAATGGAGTTAGGGGATGGCATTTGTTATAGGGCACGACATATTTAATACATCTCTCAGACAGTCAGGTGGAGATATTTGATTAACAGCATGTTACAGAGTTAAAGACTTAACTTTACAAAGAAGTTCAAATCCTGCCTCTTGCACTGACTGCTTGACCTCAAACTGGTTACCAAACATTCCTTCACTTCAATTTCCTCACCTATAAATGTGGAAAACAGAACTATTTTATAGGACTGTTAAGAGGATTAGGTCATGTGGATCTGGATTCAAAACAGGGATCTGCGTAGAAGATTCAGATTTCAGAATAACCTGGGTATACAAAATGAAAACCATGCAGATGAGTGAGACTACTGAAAGGGAGGTAAAAGTCAGAGAGCATCAGCACTTAAAAGGTTGGCAGAGGAAGAGGGACAGAAAAGGAGAATTCAGAAGGAATGTACCACAGGTAGGAAAATTAGGACAGCAGCATCCCAGAAAATAAAGAAAGTTTTCAAGAAGGAAGTGGTCAGCATTAAACGTCTTAGAAAGGTCACAGAAGATGCGGCCTAGAGAGGCCACTAGATCTGGCAACCAGAGAACCAGTGACTTATAAAGCACCTTCAGGGGCATAGTAGGAATGAAAGCCTAACTTCAACAGTCCAAAGAATGGAAAATTAACATGGGAAGGCAAGAGCTGCAGACTATTCCTTCAAGGTACATAGTGATGTGTCAAGAAAAAAACACAGGGGCAAACTAAAAGAAAATATGGCACAGAGAAGAGTTAAGTTCTTTGGTTTTGTTTTTTGTTTGTCCGTGTTTAAGATGGGAACAACTTAAGCATGAAGGAAAAGTAATGAATGCCAAAACGTGGAGGTGAAGGAGTAGACGAGAGGAAATGTTGGGGTAGGAAGACATCACAAAAACTCCAGTAGCCTCGATGGGAAGGAGGCACTT